ATTAAGAAAGCCTAATAAGTAATTAAGGTAAAATTTTCCATTAATTGCATGTGTGTTGCATTATTTCTGTTTACATCTGTCTGTTGTAGAAATATATGTTTATGTTCCTGTTTTGTTCTAAGAATTAAAGGCCTTATCGGCATATGATCATGAAATTGACTTGGTTTATGTGTTATTTGGGGTTTTAGAAGTTTATGATAGGCATAATTTAAATTCGATTCGGAGCGAAATAATTAGAATAAATTAATGGTCATTACTTAGACTAATTAAAACTTAATTAGCCAACTCTAAACCAAGCCTAAATAAGGCTTCTAGATTTCAAAACACTCTCATTTTGTCATTCTTGAGAGCAAAATGTGAGAGAGAGGGAGAGCTAGACATTGAGACCAAAAACAAAAGAGGAAGACCAAGGAATTGGCTTGAGCTTAAGCTAGAGACTTGAATTTTGGAAGGAACAACTAGTAATGCTTGCAAATTAAGACTTATAGGTAAGACTTCAACCCTCTAGTTATGTAATTGAGATGTTAAGTATGTGAAATCAAGTGAAAGAGGTGAATTAACATAGGAATTTAGCTTAAATGATGGAATTGGGAACCAATTCGTGTATGCATGTGCATCTCATGGCATATTGAACATGCTTTCTAAGAAATTCTAACATGCAAGTTCTCACCTTGGCTATGTTTTAAGAATTCACCATGTTTTAGTGCCAAACATCTCAATCGATCATGTTTTGGAAGAAAAGAATGCATATCACTTCATGCATGATATGAATATATATATATATATATATATCGTTCAAGGTAGTTTTGGGATAATTCTCTTGCTTTTGGGCCTTGATTTTGTGCAATGATCCTTAATTCTTGATGTTTTACAAGTTTTCTCAAGTTTGTGGCCTAAAGGAGTAAGTTTTTGGCATCCTCATTGCATCCTAGACATTTTTAAGGCCTAGTTAAGACACAATAATGAAGATAAGACGTAGAAACATACTAAGAACGAAATGAAATAGGTTAAGTACAATCCAAGCGTGTGTTTTAATATGTGTATCTGCTATATTTGTGTAGGTCACGCGCCAAAAGTTGTTGATCCATTGGTTCGCTATCAGAGCTATTTGTGAAACTATTTGTGAGTAATAACTTAGTAAAGCTATATTCGATATGAAGTACTTTATGTGCATTATGATATGATATGCACTGTTTCCGAATGATGCAAAAGGTTATTTTGTGATTACATGAATGATAATCCAATTCTTTGAAATGTCTATGTGGTATCCTTAGCAGAGACCCTTGCCCAGGGGACATAATATTGTGGTTTACGGTCATGAGGCCCTCGCCCGGGGGAAATAATTCCGTGGCCCAGGCCCTCACCTGGGGAAAACAATACCGTGGCCTACGTATGAGATATGCTACCCGGTACCGGAGGTTCCATTGTGGAACTTGATATGCTTGACCAAAATGATATGTTAATGCTAATGGATGTACCATGCATGATTTGAATACGAATATGAATATGACTCTGTTTCTGATACGAACATGCTTATATTTCTAATTTGATAAGACATTTGAAATCTATTCTGGACATCATTCATTAAAATCTTTACTTTGTTATTATTCACTAGGCTCCAGCTCACTGTAATATTTATGTATGTAGGTGACCAGGCTCAGTGATGATTGCCTGGAGGTCAGTTTTGTCAGCCAACCATTGTGCCTCCCAAGGAGGTTCCAAAAAGAGTTTAGTGTCAAGTTTTAGAAACCAAGTTATAAGATTTAGACTATGTTGTTTTGTAAATAGTTCTTTTGTCTTATTTTGCGTATAATGACAATGTGGAATGGATATGTATATGACGTCATATATGGGTTCATGTATTACAGTTTTAAATTTTTGGTCCCTTGTATGTCTGCACAACTCTCTGGACTATGTATGTTTTATATATCTGCTTCTGTAGCCCTTTATTATTGAGTTAATCTGTTCAGAGGCCTTGGGTAATCCCAGGATTACGATGCTAAACCTATAGAGGCGGGTTTGGGTTGTGACACATTGCCTATAAAAGGAGCCCCTTCCCCTCATTTGCAAAGGGTTAGACTTTTAAGAGATTTTTGTGAGTTTTTTAGAGCGTTTCATTACCCTCTCTCCATTTTTTGCCTTGGCTCCGAAAATACACGCCCACACAGCAACTTTAATCAACTAAAATATCTAAGGCTTGAAGAATTTGGACTAACTCATAAACCTTTGCTTGAGGGAGGCTTGCAAGTAAGAAAACTTGAGTTTTCTTGCACTTTTCTTCGCGTGCCTCCGATTTATCCGAACTAGCAAATAAAACACTTTTCTTTATCAATTTCAGTACTCTTTTAGTCTTATTTTCAATAGCCTATCATTGCTGGGGTTTCAATTCATCATTCAATCATGTAGTTTGTTCATTTTACTCACTTTTTCACTTTATTTTGCATGTTACTTGATTTCCATTAAAATAGCATGTTCAGGTTTACTTAATCATGTAGAAAACATGCTTTAAGTCCGATTTGATCATCATGTAGTTTAGCAAATTTTTCTCTTTTTATTTTTTAGTTACTTTTCTTGCATAATTTTCATGTTAGTAGCCTTAAACTAAGCTTAGATTAATATTTTGCATATATAAGTTGCATATTAGGATGATATTTACTTTATGACTAGTACGTAAGACACTTGAGTAGGCATTCGAGTAAGTCTTCTATTTTGCATAACACATGCTTGCTTCATGGCATTGTTTTTCAATAACTCTAGTTAAATGCTTTGCTTGCAAAATTGCATGTTTTGGATGTCTTTATGAACATTTTTTATTTTAGGTTGGGTTTATGGTCACGAATCATTAAGAATCTTTGTTTCATTTGAAAATCATCATTTTTAGAATACATGGCTCTATTATCTTATTCTAAAAGAAATGGTATTCGTCCTTTATTCAAATTACATAGTTTTAGGGTAGTAAAGGTTTAGGCTTAAAATGAATTGTACGGAATAATTATTCACTAAAATCATAAAATAGAGAATTAGTATAGGACAATCTCCGAATTGGGAAAAAAGAAGTGCTTTCATTCTATGGCATTTCCCTTTTGTATTGTAGCTCCCGAATCGATAATCTCTAGTTATGATGGATTAGGTCTTTAGCTTAGTTTTCATTGTTTTAGTTTTCATTGTTAAAGGTTTTTAATTCCCCATAAAATTAAGTTGTGACTCTTTCGATGTGAGATTAGCAAACCGGCACAACATGGGTGGAAATGTGCCTTATACTCGAAAAAGGCACAATGTCTACATGACCCACATTCATCAAATGGGTAGACTAATCCTAACAATTACCCCTTCCATCCATGTCGATTAAATGTTATATATGCACCCTCTAATCTTGGTGTCTTGGTTTGCAAGACACACTCCACCTTTACCTAGAAGATGTTACACCCCATTGAACCGAATGTCCATGCTATTTGCACCTCACGCAATAGTGCCCAAACGTATCCTTTGTAACTTCCTTTGTCCTCATACTCAAGCTCATGAGAACTACCGCATCTCCCTAGAGTGTCTCCATTGCCACAAATTAAACCTCAATAGAAAAGAGACCCAGGTCTTACCTTGGTGTACACCTTCTTGTCGCGACCTCTATCTCAATTTCTATGCCTGAAGATCTCCTTTTGTGAACAATTTGCAACCCATTGTTTTCCTCCTTGGCCAGTATCCTCTACATTTGTTGCTCACACTATTCACCCATGACTCGTACTAATTGTCTGATGTTTGACAATAGCTTCCCTCTTGTCACAACATACTTCATGGGCCTGTACAAGTTGCCAATCGTGATGTCCAATCAAACAAACGCCGTCTGATTGACCTCACAATGACTGGACTTCCTTGTTGATTGAATCATATTACTCCAAGACCACCTAGATCACATGCAATCACCATTGATTGCCCTTGAATCTATTCAATCTCTTTAAATCTTTTAGAATATGAAAATTATGACTGTACTAATGAAATTGCAACACCTGAAAACCTTAAGAACCATCATTGCCATGAATTTTTCTGATACACATACACCGATCTATCAAAAACAATTTAATCATTAGCTTTTTTAAGCTTGCCCCACTAGATTACTTCTTGTTGTAACGCAAAGCCAAATCAATGTTTTGGACTTCCAATAAAGGCCACACACAATGTAACCAACTGTATAAATGACCTAATGCCTTTGCCATATTTTTTTTTTCTTCTGTTCGACCATAATTTATTTCTTCTTTGTGCGAGTCCTCCATGTTCAGTAACACCCCTACCTGCTAACCACACTAAGGATTGACAACCATAAGCTCTAATACCATTTGTTGGGATTTATTCCACATCTCACCAACGCAAACGGAAGCACACCCATGCACACGCCAAGAAGAAAAAATAATTACATAGATTTACGTGATTCAGCCCAAATTGCCTACACCCACTAGGGAGACAAAGCTTCCACTATGAATAAAATAGAGAATACATGTGAGACGACCAAAACATTTACCACTACTCGAACCCTATGCTCAAGGGTAGTTAAACCCTTGCTAACCCCGTTGCCCATGGTATTTTTCCTCTCACCCCTTACATTTCTAATTTTTCCCTCTCTATTCTCTCAATCTCTCTAAGAGAAACCCTATAATCTATATGACTAGTTATAATAGTTTACTCATAAAAATTATAGTTTCATACAATTAGTTAACCAAATCCTAGGTTTCCTAGTAGATTCTGGATTCTACTATCCTAATCCAAATACATGTATAAACCTACCAAATAATTATATGGGACCCAACTTTGTCACATGAATAGACTAAGAGTAACAAAGAAATAAAAGTAAAAATAAAGGATAAAAAAGTAACTTTACTTTTTAAGTTAGTTCCATTTAAACTTCTATTAATGAAGAGGACGTGTGTGTATTTTACTCAATATAAAAGTGAAAAACAGAGACATCGAAAATTTAAAAGTAAAAAATAAAAACTATTGATTGAACTTACAATCTTGAAGTCATTTAAATTCTTTGCGGTTGGGAGCTCACTATCCTTGCAAATGCAAAGCACTTCTTCACGAGCCTTGCTTTGCCATTCTTGATGCAATGCTAGTAGCAGAAGTGCCCATGTCAAAAGATTTGCAGTAGTTTCCTTTCCTGCAAAGTAGAATGTTTTACATTCATCTATAATTTCCTCCACTCTCAATCTCTCTTCTTTCCCGTCCTGATTCTTATAGGTAGACAATAACAAAGCTAGTAGATTTTTCGAATTTTCTTTTGTTTTGTTATTAATCTCAATTAACGTCCTTATTGATTCTCGAGTTTCTTTCTCCAACTGCTGCCTCATTCTATTCTTTTTAGTAGGTAACAACCTGCATATAAAAATTCATTTTTAGAAATCAAAGAAAACAAGATTAGCCAAAACAAGAAAGTCGAGACTTGAATTTGTTAAGGATTTCTAGTAAAGCAATTGCAAAATAAAACAAGCTTCACAATCCATTTGTTGTAAATGGAAACATTTCGTTTTGTTTCGTATTAGCTTAAAGGTGAGGTTATCAATATTTGTTTATTTATTTATACGAAATTCAAAATTCTCCACCAAAAAAAAAAAAAAAAAAAAAAAAAAACCATATGTTGGATTTTTTCCTATCCCAACTCCTAATGCTAACAATTTATCCTTATGACTATAGTACTCTTAACTATTCAACACAATTTATGTGTAATTATGAAAGTAAAATCTAAATGGGTTACCAAAGACTTGTGCTTTTTTTTTCTTTGACTTTTTATTTCAAGGTAAAAAGCCAATTTCTTAACCCTATTTTACTTTTTAAATCAATTTAGACTAAAGGACATTGAAGATTAAAAATATTTGGAAAAGGTTTAGTAAATAAGAAGAAAAAAAAAGAGAGAGAAGATTTTAGAAGCTTTTTTGATAAAATAAGCTTTTTCATCTTTAGTAGACCATTTTCAAGAAATTTTCCTTTTTTTCTTTTTTTTTTTTGTTTACATAAAATTGAAAACTAAAAAAAACAAAATTTGAAAAAGCCAAAAAAATATTTATATAAATAAAATGGAAAGAAGAAGATTAGTGCTTTTACAAATGAGGCATTTGATAAGAGGTTTTTTTTTTTCTTTTTCTTTTTCTTTTTTTTTTTATACAGAAAAATCCTCACATCTTCCCGCAAGTCCAAGGTAACACTTGAATCAAGATCACTAAGGTATTCTGTTGTTCGTTTCGGACTAGAGATTATAACATGGGAGTTTGCAACGACCTCTAAACACAAATTTCACTTAAGTTGGGACTTGCACATTAGAGGAGAATCAAATCCATGCCAAGTGCTATATTGGTAGCAACTTGAGCTCCTTTTCTTAACCAACTACACTGCTTCTAGCGGGTTAGAGGTACCATCTTGCAAACTTCTATTAGTTTAAGTCCTTCTCAAAATAATTTAACCTATTAAGTTCCATTAAAATTTGCACTCCGAAAATACCCTGCTAAAATCATCGCCTCTGTGACTATGCTAGCTTTCTCCATTCCGCTTTAGACAGCCGACTTACTTCCATTCCCTAAAAAGGCTATTTTTACCTTGTACATGTAGTATTAGGGGTGAAAATTTGACACGTAATTTGTTAATACGATTTGAATCATATATATAATTAAGGGATTAAAGTTAATTATTTTTTGATTCGAACCTGGATATAATATGATCCGAAAGCATGAATATTAAATAGGTCGCGTTTGGCTTGAACACGCAAGACCCGAAATTAACATGTTTGACCCGCGTAAAAATTTGTGTCGACACATTGACACGAACCCACTATTATCTCGCATGTATACAACTTGAATTTATTAACCATAAGATCTTGAGTAATTAGTTCTCATCCGTTAGATTAAAACTTAAATCTCCATATAATATATTGTAAGAATTTTTTCTAAATATGGCTTAATGTGGCTTATGCATGATTATACTAGATTCATCTTATTAAGTAAGATACATGTACATCAATTAGATGGTGACTAATTGTTGATGAATGCACCTATATATACAATGTATAGGACTAATGTTAATGCATTGAATGTGATGGATTCATTATGAATGAATCTTAGAGATGCATTATGTATCTATTATGAATATGTAAGATACATTAATCTATCTAATGAATTCATTAATATAGAAGATGCATTATGTATCATGAATGTATAAGATACATTAATCTATTTAATGAAGTTCATTGAATGAATGGATTCTTTGATGGGAAGAATACTAGTATAAATAGTGTAAGGTCCCAAACCACACTCTCCATCAAAAACTCAAGTTGTCACCACAAGAGGGCTCCCATCGCCTAAAGAGAGAGAAGTGGTTTGAAGATCTTAGACAAGTCAAGAACTTAAAGATCAAGGTCTTCCATTCAAGGTTTATCTTTCTTGCAAGAGGATTTCATACTATCATGGATCAGGGTATGCATTTACTAAAGTTGTATAGTAGAAATTCATATAGTTTTCATGTATAGAATTGAATCCTTAATGGTTTTTAGTTTATGTTCCGCAAAGTTTTCTATCAATTGGTATCAGAGCCATGGTTCTCAATTCTGATGCATGAAACATATAAGTATGAATTTCATTTTATGATGATGTTTGGTGTAACAAGTGCAAAACCTTGATTTACACTTGTCCAATTTTATTTTTTATTTTTGGCCAATCTTTTATTCTATTGATATTAAAATAAAAATTGAAAATTATTGAACAAGTGGTAATCAAGATAATGTTTTATGCACTTATAATGTTTTGTTACACACCTTATGAGTTGCAATATTGTTGATCAGCCCAACGGAGGTTCAACACTATGTATGTTTGAACAACCCAGATGATTAGTATAATAAATATAGCAATAAGTTTTTCTACCCAACGGTGATAAACTTCTCACGTGCTTTAGTTAATAAAATAAAATAAGAGATATTTGAGTTTTTCTGCCCAACGGTGATAAACTCGTTACGGTCTTAATGATTATTTTATTTTATTTTATTTTATGTTGTTTATGTTTATTAGTCATCTCATTTACTTTTATGAATTGTTAAAATATATTGTTATTCGACCCAACAGAAGGATAACTTGATTTCGTATCTAACTAATTAGGTTTTATAGTTAGGTATATTTAACTTGTGTTATTTTTATGAGATGTGAAAAGTAGTTTTCTTGATTATATTATGTAATGGATATTATGTGTTTGCAGCATTGAATCCTGTTGCCATTAATAGTTACTTGTCTGGTATTGAAGCTTTGAGTAGAACTAATTTTAAGAAATGAAAGGAACAAATTGGAATTGTTTTGGGAATTATGGATTTAAACTATGCATTAAGAGAGCCAACTCCTACAAAGCCTAATGATACAAGTTCTAAGGAACACATGACTTTATATGAAACATGGGAACGCTCTAATCGCTTAAGTCTAATGATTATGAAAGGCTCAATTACGCTTGCAATTCAAGGAGCAATCCCTGTTTCTAAAAGTGCAGTGAGCTGTATGAAATCTATTGAAGAACAATTCATTGGAACTTCTAAATCCCTTGCTTGTACTCTCATGATTAAAATGATGACAATGAAATATGATGGTTTGAGTGGTGTTCGTGAAGATATCTTAAAGATGAATGACATGGCCTCTCAATTAAAGGGAATGGACTTGGAAATTTCTGAAGGTTTTCTTGTTCATTTCATTATGATTTCTCTTCCTGTGCAATTTGGTCATTTTAAGATCAATTATAATACACAGAAAGATAAGTGGAAGATGCGTGAGTTAATTGCCATGTGTGTTCAAGAAGAAGAGAGGCTTAAAGCTGAAAAGCCTGATATGGCTCACCTTACCACTTTGGGTCCAACCACAAAGATTTTCAAGAAAGGCAAAAGTAAGAAGAAGAAGAATGCATATGATGAAACTCACAAGGCTAATGAAGGAAATAAGATTCGATGCCATTTCTGTCGAAAGAAAGGTCACATAAGAAAGGACTGTCCAGGTTTTAAAAGTTGGTTGGACAAGAAAGGTAACACTCAATGCTTTGTGTCTTATGAATCCCTTTTGGTAGATGTTCCACCAAATTCTTGGTGGATTAACACTGGTGCAAATATTTACATAACAAATTCCATGCAGGGATATCTTACAAGTCAGAAACTAAATAAAGGAGAATGAACCATTACGGTTGGAAATGGAATAGAAGTGGACGCTGAGGTTATTGGCACCCTCCGTCTAATTTTAGACTCTAGTTTCACTTTAGATTTAGTAAACACAGTTTATGTTCCTGTTTTTACTAAAAACCTAATTTCTGTTTCACAACTTGATTCATGTGGTTATGAATTTAAGTTTGGATATAATAAAGTCTCTTTATTCCACAATTCTCATATGATTGGTTCTGGTATTTTATATGGTAATCTTTATTCATTGAATTTAGATTCCACTTATGCACAATCTCTTTTATCCTTTAATGTAAACGACTTGGTAAATAAAAAGAGAAAGCAAGTGAATGACTATTCATCCATGTTGTGGCATAAGCGTTTGGGCCACATATCAAGAGAAATGATAGAACGCCTTATTAAAGATGGAATTTTAAATTCACTTGATTTTTCTAATTTTAGTACTTGTGTGAATTGCATTAAAGGAAAATACACAAAGTTAAAGAAAAAGGGTGCTACTAGGGCTACTGAATTATTAGACGCAATTCATACTGATATATGTAGTCCCTTTACTGTTCCAACTATTTCTGGACATAAATATTTTATTACTTTTATTGATGACTTTTCTAGGTATACTTATGTGCATCTTATTTGTGAAAAATCAGAAGCACTGAATATGCTCAAACTCTATAAAGCTGAAGTTGAAAATCAACTTGACAGACGGATTAAAAGTGTAAGATATGATAGAGGTGGGGAATATTATGGTAGATTCACTGAGTCAGGTCAAAATCCAAGTGCTTTTGCTTTATTTTTGGCTGAGAATGGTATTGTTGCTAACTACACAATGCCTGGTACACTTGAGCAAAATGGTGTAGCTGAGCGACGAAACCGTACTCTTTTGGACATGATGAGAAGCACGATGAGTAACTCTTCTTTGCCAGATTACTTGTGGGGTGAAGCTTTAAAAACTGTTGTATATGTTCTTAATAGGGTTCCTAGTAAGGTTGTGCCTGTAACTCCTTATGAGTTGTGGGTTGGTAGGAAACCTAATTTGAATTATTCACATGTATGGGGTTGTCTTGCTGGAGCAAAAATTTTCAAACCACAAATAAAGAAATTAGACCCTAGAACTATAAGTTGTTATTTCATTGGATATCCTGAGAGATCAAAGGGTTTTAGATTCTATTGTCCCACTCATAGCACAAGAATT